TTATTTATTTATATATATTTATTAAGTTATTTATGCTGCGTCTGAAGCAGCAAGAAAAAAATTGATATCATTTTTTTAACATTACTTTTTATGACCTTTCAAGAGTTCATTTTAAAAGCCTGATATCACATAGACTTGAGTTTAAAGCGCTGTAGAGGTCCAAACCAACGTGTGATGCTCACCTTGTCTTTGGAGAACATCGTCTTCGGGTGCTCGTCTTGTGTTCTGGATCTCCACGTCAGGTTAGCCAGCGCTGTGAGGCACATCTCCTTCAGGTCTGAACACAGGAGACAAAATGTTGTGACAAAGTACGACAAAGCTTGAATCCACCGTAGAGTCGAGGCCGTTTGAAACACCTACTCGCTTGTTTTCTGAGGAAGTAAGTGTTGCCGCTGTGATGGCACACGTTGCAGTGAAACACATAGTTAGTCATGAAAGGAAGGCAGGTCCTGTAGAGAAGGAGAAGAGGCTAAATCAGTACTTTAAAGTTGTAAAAATAAACGGCTGATGTTTAAATATAACTTTACATACGCAGTGTCGATGGCGAATGTGTCAGCAGTGAACCACTTCATGCACAGCGCACACTGCAGCTCCACCTCTCCCAGCTGCCTCCCACTCTCCTCGTCTCCGGATCCAGTCAGAGCGTCGGCCGCCTCGGAGCCGTCGCCGGCCGTTTCCTGTGAGACACAAAGTCTGCTTATTAAAACAACAGCACGTGTATCAGGAGTTACAGCAAAGCCACAGACAGCAACCACACCAAATAAAGACAAAGTCATGGTAATAATAACTATATGTTACCATTCCCTCTTTGCCGTTGGATGACTCAGTGTCCATGCTGGTGGGTAGTTCCCTGAATGGAGCATCGCTGATGATCAACAGGAGGATTAGTCAGAGGATTAAATGTTTACTAAATGTTGACCCAGCTACAGAAAAGATGTCAAATTCATATCAACTGGTAAAAACATAATAAACGTTGACAATGGAACTGCACATGTATAATTCACTAACACATTACGCACACGTTAAGTATTGTTGTTTTTCTCCAAACTGTTTCTGCTCTCACCTCTTTTAATTATTCTCAATACTATACAATACATATTATTCTGAAATTGGCCATTCTGCATTTTTTACTTTGGGTGCTTTCTTTTTAAATGCAGGACGTGTCACAGAGTATTTCTGCAAAGAGGTATTACTACCTTTGCTTTAGTACATGAATACTTCTTCCAATATTTCTATTAATCAAAAATACATTGTTTTCGTTAAAAATTGACATTTTTCAAACGGAGTCTGGCGTACGAGATTTATAGCTTTACATACATTATTATTAGAGGGACATATTCATGCTTTTAAAGTTTTAAACTACGCTCTGTATACTTTATAAGTCTGCCGGTAGACAGGTTAACATTAACCTGTCAGATATTGTGATGTTTTCTCCTCACAAAGAGCTGCTAAGCTGTAACGGTCTACGGTTCTCTCTGAGAGTCTATGGGATGCTAACGTTAGCTAGCGAGTATGCTAACATCATTTACGGCTAAACAAGAGCGTAAATGTGGTTCATATGTTCACATATAATCAGAATCAGAGCATATATATTTATAACAGTGACATATATCTCGCATGACGGACACATACCCGTCTCCGGTGTCCGGTTCTGTTGTAGCAGCACTGCTACCCGCCTCTGCTTCCGACGCCATGTTTTCAAATCAATGAAAATAAAAATAAAAAATAAAAACGTCAACTTCCGGGTTGCCGCAGAGGATCAGCTCGGCAGCGCCACCGCAGGCTGGCGGGTGAACTGCATGATAGATAGCTCGATAGATCGACAGCTCGATAGCTCGATAGATCGATAGATAGATAGATAGATAAGATGGATGGATGGATGGATGGGTGGATGGATAGATACTTTATTCAACCCCGACAAACAAATTCCCCCCTGGGGATGAATAAAGTATATATCTATCTATCTCTATCTATCTGGATAGATGGATATCCAGTTTTCTGTTTGTCCTTTTAATTTTGTGGAAACTTTGCATGAAGGTTTCCTTCTTGTTCCTCCAGCTGAATGAAGAAGAACTGGAGGCTTTTGGTTGGAGAAGATTATAAGTTTACGGTGGAAGTGGTTGTGGTAGTCCAGGCTGCTGCTGTGGATTTGTAGTGAAACCCACTCGTATAGTCTCCTCACTGGATGCTGGCTCTGTGGTCGGGGTTCTAAAGAGAGCAGCCATGTGGTTCCTGACTGAAACCTGATAATGTAGAAGAAACAGCTGACAATCAGCACACTGGAGGTTAACACACATTATACCTCCTTCAAATCAGCATACGAGTCAATATATGATATACAAGAGAATATGGTCAATATTTAAGACCAAAAAGATAATATCATTACATAAGATAAGATAATCCTTTATTAGTCCCACAGCGGGAAATGTGCAGGATTACAGCAGCAAAGTGAAACAACAGACATCAGTAAAAAACAAAACAAGAACAATAAAGAGTCAGACAGTGAAGGTGATGAATAAGTAAATAAATAGCAAAAAGACAACAAAAGATAAAAATACAATATAATACACATTATTGCCGAGGTATGAAGTGTTTGTATTGCAGATGTAATTATATTGCAAAGATATACATTGATATTGATAAAGTAATGTTCAAAGTTTAAGAGGAGATTGATTTTCATGCACTGATCAGTTAAGTCTTTATTTTTTAGATTTCTCTTAAATTCACCAAAAGTTACATTAGATAATGCCTCATTTGCCTATTTAAACATAACTTTCAGAAAACTTAAATAATAAAAAATGATTGTCGTCACGCAAAGAAAAAATATCATTAACGCTCACAATGAAATATAAAATATCTTTCCATTTCCAAAACTTGTTTTTTGCATGAAAGTATTCAGAATCTTCAGCACCAAATCAGCTTGAAGAAGTGAGTAAATGTAGATGAATATAAATATATGAGAGGGTGAGTGTATGTATCTACAGTAATGATCCTGACTCTTGTGCAGATGTCTTCTTCTACCTCAACATTTCCATGAACTGTTAAAGAGCGATGTATAATAAAAAGCTTTGTTCTGCGTGGGACCACCCGCCGTACGCTCTGAAAGTCAAACATTATTTGGAGGTTTTTAGGGGCCGTTCAGGAACCGGTAAAGAGTCAAAACAAAAGAAAGTGTGCCAGAGGACGTCTCACAATAAGAGCGCTGGAATGCTGAGAGCACCCCTGGGTGCTGCAGTAAATGCCTTTAGGTCTTTGTTAGGGAGATGATGGTGGCGTCTTCTCCTCCTCTTTCCTCCTAGAATGCAGAAACACATCTGTGGAGTGGAGGAAGTTATCAATACTGTATCTTCACACTTCAGATGAGCGAAAGAAAACTTCCTTTATTCACTGTTTGATCTTCTCTTAATGATAAAGAAATGACTTATTTTGCATTAAACGAATCTTTTATGATTAAATTAAATTTTCCATTTTCATTTGTATTCTGTGAATTTTATTTTTTTTCTTCAGGTTAAATAAAAATAAAAATAACAACAGTTGGTATGAGACACAATAGTAGAGAGTATTTAGAGTATTTGTTTCCAGTGTTCCAGTGTCGTTACATGAATTCAGTCTTTCCATAGTAAACATGCGTCTTCACAGGAAACTTAGTTAAGTTTAGGAAACAAAACTACTTGTAGTTTTAATAAAATATTGTGACACACACACACACACACACACACACACACACACGCACACACACACACACACACACACACACACACACATCCTCTTGTCCTTGGGACACAGCTCCGGGTCACAGAGGGTCAGGCTACTGGTGACATCTGCTAATTGTCCTGATGGGCCGGCCTCTCTCCTCCTTTCAATACCAGCAGCTCTGTAGGAGTCTGTTGCTGGCAGCTGCAGTTTCATGAGTCGCCTCCACAGGATCATTTACCCGCCGACCCTCCTCTTCCTCCTCTTCCTCCTCTTCCTCCTCTTCCTCAGGAGGAGGATTAGGAAACTATCAGCAATAATGTGGATTTAAAGATGGGACTGTTACCTGAATTGTAGAGTTAATGAAGCAATTTGAGGCCAATTAAACATAAAAGAGCCAAGTAACAGTACTTTTACTCAAATACTGTACTGAAGTATTTCCATTTGTAGTTCTACTTAACTACAAGGAAATATTTAACTTTTTACTGCACTACAGTTACATGTTTAGATAAAGATATTAAATAATATAAACTAGTGATTTTCAACCGTTTTCAACTGTTTGATGATCAAAAATATACAATTGTCCTTCTCCTCCTTCTCCTCTTTCTTCTCCTCCTCCTTCTTCTCCTTCTTCTCCTCCTCTTCCATTAATCATCTCCAGACTCCTCAGGTTTACCTGGCGACCCTTTGCAGGTCCCCAACCCTCATAGGAACCACTGACTAAACTATCTGAGTGTATAAAACATATTTAAAAGTAACTCAAGAAGCTGTAATACTTTTGAACTTTGGCTGAAGAGTACTTTTACATGAATGTATTTGTACTTTTACTCTGATTTTAGGATCTGAATTTGACATGAAGAACAGTTTGAAGCTCAAAGTCAAAAGATGTTGTAATGAATCTCTTCTGTTGTTTAATACGACTCGTCTTGTTCTTTGAAAGTTGGAGTAAAGATCTCCGTCCTCTCAGTCTGAGTCTGAGTATCTCTGTTTCCGGTTCTTCAGCTCCTCATTGAAGACAGATGCTTTTTATGACTGAACTTTTCCTCCTACTGGAAATATTCAAAATCATTTCATGCAGAATTCAGTCTGACATGGTTGTCTTTGAACACGTTGGGATCTGCACTATAATTTGACATAATATTTATATTTTTGGGCTATATAAAGAAAGATATTATTAGTATTATTACCAGCAGGCATGAAGTGGCCTCAGTGGTCAGAGGACCAGCGCTCCTAAAGTTGTTAGTGGGCTTCTAATTAAACCGAAGTGCTTTGTGGGGATGTTGCACACTCAACAGGACAAAAACGGCTCCATGGAAACTGAGACACAAGAGACAAAAGGCTCAAACTTTGCTTTGATGAGTCCATCAATTAGCATCACAAGACGCGTTCACGTGTCCTACCAGCGTAACAATCCCACATTTGCAAATAACGACAAGCGAAACCACAAAGAGGAACACGAGGGATAGAAAGGAGGCACATTTTAACCAGATGCCCGGTAATAAATAACAAACTCAAAGCCCCCCCACCGGCTAAGAGAACGCGCATTTGCATTCTGAAGTGCCCGCACGTGGGGGTCCCACGGGGCCGGAGCGTGTTCGCGTTACGCACAGGAAAAGACAAGAGGCTTCAATTGTTCCTGCAGCGCGCATTGCTTCATTTGGGTAACTTTTTGAATGACATGTAAAGTAGACAGCGCTGCGGTGGCGTGTGCAGAGGCTGCGTGTGTATATTTCTATATAAACCCCCGGGAGCAGCTTGGAACAGTCACTCCGCTTCCTGCGTCCTGATCATCGCCCCACAGCGCGCTGAAATGCAGCCAGTTGCAGCCAAAGTCCCGCTAAACCACAGGACACCCTTTTCTGTGGAGGATATTTTGGATCCTACAAAGTTTACGAGGAGAATAATCTGTGCCGAGGATGCAACAGGTGAGAAACAAACTCCTTGAGGTCTACGAAAAGCCTTTTTATCAACTTGTAAATTGGTTTAATCATGATCTTTTCGTTCCCTAATAGGAGCTTATTCTCCCAGAGATGAACCCAGAAAACAACAGCTGCATCCTCCGACCGCTGGGAGCTGCAGCCCGGATGAGGAGGCTCCGTGTCCGCCGGGGAAGCTCCAGAGGCCGGAGGCTAAAAGCCGACGGATCCGCACCGCCTTCACCATGGAGCAGCTGCAGATCCTGGAGCGCAGCTTCCGGAGGTGCCACTACCTGTCGGTGCTCGAGCGGCACACCGTCGCCTCGGCCATGCGCCTCTCCGAGACACAGGTCAAGATCTGGTTCCAGAACCGGCGCACCAAGTGGAAGAAGGAGCGACCGCGGGGGAGGGAGGAGGAGGAAGAGCACGGCTTCCCATCATCATCCTCCTTCTCCTCTCCTCTGACCGACAGTCCGCTCTACTGGCAGCCGCGCGCTCCACTGCAGATGTTCGCGCCGCTGCCGCTCGCGCCTTTTCATCATCATTATTACGCACGATGAAGCGACTGAGCACGCGATGGACCAACATTCAGCTCACCTGAAACTATTTCTGCAAAAAAAATAATATATATATATATATATATATATCATTATTCCTGAGAGCTGTTAAAGTGCCGAACAGAACCGACTTTATATTTTCTAATTATGCTGTAATTTATTTTGATAAACATTTCTATTAAAGTTATTCTTGTTTTTTTGTTTTTTTTACATTGTTGATTCTCACAAGATAAAAATGTGCATTAATATAAAATATATAATTCATTTCTATATTTTAAACTGTGATTTTACATTTGTTTCCTCGAGGTAATGTGCACTAATAACTAATAACTTAATGATGGAGCTGCATTAACATTATGACCCTGGTCGATGTTTCTGCTATAAAATTCACAGGCAATAATAAAAAAAGTTGCATTTTATGATCTAAAGGGACAAAGAACCTGATTGCTTTGAGCTAAATGCTAATATCCGCTGATGTTTAGCAGGTATAATGTTCACCAAGCCTTTAGCATGTTAGCATGCTAACAATTGCAAATAGGCAATGAACACAAAGTACAGCTGAGGCTGACGGGAATGTCTTCAGTTATTTTTGGTCACAAATCAAATTATTGGACTAATTGAATGTTGATGTAAAGTCAGAAGATCAGCAAAGTTATTACAGTTCATCCCGAAGGAGAACACGAGTGTCTGAGCCAGACTTAGTGACAATCCATCCGATAGTTGTTTGATATTTTATTAAAAAATAAACATCAAAGTCAGTTTCATCCTCTGAAGAACCACAAGTAAAACATCACAGTCACGAGGGTTCATCCCAAAGGGGAACATGAATGTCTGAACCACATTTCATGGAAATCCATTTATCCAGAAGTCTATGAGAAAATGACTCTACTTCTCTCTTGATTTATTACCTCAGTAAACATTGTAAACATGAGTTTATGGTCTCAATCTCTAGTTTCAAGTCTTCTTCAATACAGCATGATGATCATTTAGTACATTATGGTCCATTTAGAGTCAAACAGACCATAAAGCAGGGGATGCTTTAGGGCGGGGCTACACGGTGATTGACAGGTCTCTACCGCGGCATTGTGTGTGTGTGTGTGTGTGTGTTAGTTTGACTAGTAAACTCCATCCAACTCTTTTTGGCCAAGTTAAACATATTCTGTACATAATGTATTTTAATGACACAAAATTACTACTCTCTGCTCAAAGTCTTTCTCACACACACACACACACACACACACACACACACACACACACACACACCTCTGAGCACATCTGTATGTAATTTAGCACATACTCTAATCCTCAGATGTCAGGCGGTTCTGAACTCCCACACGTCCGCTCATTATGATGAACGAGACAAATCAGTGAAGTGTTTAGTTTTAACAAATCACAAACAAACAAAAACATCACGTGAAAAAAGAATTAACTTAACGTCGGCATTCTATTGCTAGGTGTTACAAATTCTGATGTTTTAAAAAATAAAGTATTTTAAGAAGATGACATGTTATTATCAGCTGGAAATGATCTGAGAGCATTTCCAGCATCAATGAGGTATTGGAAACAGATGGAGGCAGAAAACAAAGTGGACAGACTATTGTCACACACWCACACACACACACACACACACACACACACACACACACACACACACACACACAGGTCTGCTGAAGGAACATTATGAGCGTGAGSAGGGAAACGAGTCGACATCTAACGGAAACGAATTGAATGTTTTCCAAGAAGTCTACATGATGAAACACGACAAACAGAAAAATACTTTCCTGAACTTTTATGCAGGAAATCAGATCTTGACACCAGAAGTGGAATAACACTTATTTACTCAAGTGTTCTAGTACAAATCCAGGTACTTTACATTTACTTGAGTATTCATGCTACTTTCTACTTCTCCTCCGCTACATCTCAGAGTTAAATCTTGTACCTCTGAGATGTAGTAAGTAATATTACTCAAGAAACATCAGATTTAATAGTGAAACATTTACTGATCAATCGATACTTTTAATTTAACTACATTTATGTACTTTTACTCAAGGAAGGTTTTGAATGCAGGACTTTTACTTGTCCTGGAGTATTCTCACAGTGTGATATTAGTACTTTTACTGAAGTAAATGATCTGAATACTTCTTCCACTACTGGATAACACTTTAACTGCACAATGTCTCAAAGGCATCTGAGCAGATCTTTGATCTCAGATGACACAGCTGCTGTTATTCTGCTTGGTGGACATGAGTCATGGTCCGTGGTGGTGTTATGATCTCTTTCTGACACTGAACATTTCTGAAGTCAAAGTCATGGTAGACTTCAGAGTCTGCAGCCATGACTGAATGGATGAAGGGGAATCATTATGTTGAAGAATGATTGGTGTTTGATAAAACATGGACGTTGCCGGTGAAACTTCATACTTCTGTCCTGTGAAAATTATGAAACTTCTTCAGATTCTCATTGTTCCTGCAGAGCACTCGTTAGATGCTTCTGTGCCTGAGTGCAGCTTCACAGAGCTGCTAGCAGTAGTGGAAGAAGTATTCAGATCATTTACTTAAGTAAAAGTACTAATACTATACTGTAAAATGTACTCCAGTACAAGTAAAAATCCTGTATTGGAAATGTTACTTCTGTAAAAGTATGTAACTTTAATCAGGAAAATGTAGTATTTGAAGTAAAAGTACTCAATGCAGAAAAAAAAAAATGTAATTTATTTATTTATATATTTGTTTAGTTACTACATTTTCCCAATTAAACCAATACGTTCTTTTACTTAAGTAATATAAAATTTGATTTGCTATTAAAAGTATTTGATAAAAAAGCATCACATTTAATCAGCTCTTCATGTTTTGTGTGTAAACATCTTTGAAGTAACTAGTAGTTAAATGTACTGCAATAAAAGTATTTTCCACAGAGATGTAGTGGAGTAGAAGTATAAAGTAGCATAAAAAGAAAGTACAAGTACCTCAAATTTGTACCCGAGTAGTAACCTTTTATTCTTGTTCTTTTCCTCATAAAACCTGTTGTTGTGTTCTGTATGATTGCATAATAGCAGCATGTTTAATGTCTTTAATTGTCTCATTGTCTTAATCATTCTCAGTCGATCATCTGCTGAAGAATGTCGACTCTGCTGAACTTAAAACACGACTCAGTTTGTTCACCCAACCGTAAACACTTCAGTCCTCACATCTGGGAACGCTGTGTGTCCCGCCGCTGACCGCAATCGAAAAAGCGTTGTGTAATACGCCTACTTCATCTAGACATGTTATTAGTGAAGTCCACATCTTTTTAACATTTAGACAGTTTAAACATTTCATGCATATTTTACAGGCCGGATTATAGTGTGAAATTGAATGAAATCTTGAAAATTACATTTTCACGGTTTTGGAGCTGCTCTGGTGAGCCATGTCTTCTTTCACAAGGACTTTTGTTTTGTCTCCGGACTAAAAATCAGACCAGTTCGAGCCATCACAAATACCTAACATCGTTTTTACGACGAGATTCTGGACAAAACTGACGGTGATCTGAAGTCTGTCTTTAAAGCTAATCAATATTTCTATAAGAGCAATGGATTTAATAAGAGTTTTCACTCCAGGTGACCAACCCACAGATAATCATCGCCTGCATCTGCAGCTACTCAGAACTTTATTGCCTCTCTCAGCTCTTTGTTTTGGTTTTCCAGCCCTCACATCTGCTCTTATCATCCTGGTTTCTAGTGGCAGCAGGCGGCTGTTTTTAGAGCAAATACTCTAAAAAAGCCACTGTTCACTACCTGCTCAACAGCAAGCAGCAGACAGACTCGGTTAAGAGACCAGCTGGTGAACATAGTGGAGCATTTAGCAGCTAAAGAGACAGATATTTCCCTCAAAAGTTGGAGGAGGAGACCAAAAACGGAGCAAAAAGAGAGAGAATATCGGACTTTAAAGTCAAGAAACACAACGAGAAACAGGACCACAATAGCAAATTAGCAATATGACCCGGTTACTTAAGACAACCCACAGACCTCGTTGTGAGTAGTTTCATTTAGGAACTACTTTCTTTCTGCTGATCACCAACCAAACGTATCACCGAGCAGAAGGAAGCGTGCATCTATACTCGTTACTGCTAGCTCACTTAGCAGCACTGAGCTTAGCTAACGTTACTGCTCAGCAGAGGACGCCGCCATTAATGTTTACATCTCGTCCGTGAGTAGATGCACGCTTCCTTCTGCACAGGGATACGGCCGGCAGGGTTTAGTTCGGGAGAAAGAAAATAGTCCTTACTTGAAACTGCTCTCAGTAAGGTCTGTAGTCTGCTTCGAGCTCCACAAGTGACATATAGTTTGTATATTAGAGAGAAGGCAGACATCTGTACAGCAGACACCTCCAGCACACAATAAATAACAATACAGGTGAGAGGAACAATATGTATTTTGATTTTGGGTGTGTTGAATTGAGAAAAGGGAACCTTTCATTTTGAATTCAACAGTTATTTCATATTTCAAAAGTTACGTAGTCTTGCTTTAAACTACTAAAGGTTGAGATATATTTGATGACATGTATAAATATACACTGCATATGAGTTGCTAGGCTAGCAAAGACCTGATTTCTATTTGTTATGTTTGCTATCATTTAATCAAATCAAGAACCAGATTAAAAGGTCTTTCTTTAAAGTTCCTTCTTTCTCTTTCTTTCCTCCCTCCCTCGTAGGAATGTCACATGTGGCAGATGCTCCTCCCCTCTGCTCAGAGATGGGTGAGGGGAAAAGGGGGTGAAGGGCCATGAGGGAGAGATGTGACTGAGGAGTATGTGGTAGAGGAGGAGGAGGAGGAAGAGGAGGAGGAGGAGGAGGGAGGTGTGTTGCTCTGCTGCTGCTGGAGAAAATCCAGTCCAGACAGATACTCCTCTCCAGCACGATCAGGAGGCTTTAAAACCTCCAGCACCACAACATTTTCTCCCTCTCTCCACGCTGACTCACTTTTAGAGGAGGAGGAAGCTCCCCAGACCTCTGCAAGCTCATCCTTTTGTTCTCTGCAGAACACAAACGTCTGCAGAGACGTCGTCAGGACCTCAACCGGAAGTTTAATCTGTGCGTCTGCAGGTCAGATGTTAATTACTGTCAGTCCAAAGTTGTTTTTTACAGATCGTTTGAGATCACGGAGTTTATCTGATCTGTCTCTTCCCAGTCTGCGTTGTGTTTTTCATTTGGAGAAATGAGGGCCGAGTTGCTGGTCGTCTGGGCTGGTTTGACCCTGAGCTGCGCTCTGGTCGGAGCTCGAGATGATGTGCAGGAGAACGAACTCTCCAGAGGTCGGATTCACGTGAGAGAAACCCAAGGACTGGTGGAGCGAGGGAGACAGGGGGAGGAAGACGGCATCCAAATGTCAGACGAGCCTGCTGAACTGGTGGAGGAGAGGACAAAACCAAAGAAGAAGAAGACACCTGAGGAAATTGAGGCAGGTAAGAAGGAGCCAAAGGTATGACCGAGTCTGCTGTTCAGATGGCGTACACTCTGCTCTGAGCTTGCAGCCAGAAACACAGACAGGAAAGGCTGCAATCAATCTGTTGAGGCAGGAAGACATTTGGTTTGAACTCTTGTGATCTAGAGCTCCGCTTTGTCTCCCAACTCGTCCACAGATCCTCCATATGCTCACAGAAACCTTTTCATGACTTGCATTTCAGAGCCAGAATAGCAGGAGAGACTTGGGGGGGGGGGGGGGGGGGGGGGTTGTTTTGGTAAAAGTATCTCAGTGACTCAGAGATGACGGGGCAGAAACTTGCAGTTGGTGGTCTGACATTTTCTTGGCAGTCTGACCGCACAGCTGCCGACACAAACTACCATCTCAACTGACCAGAGAAGGAGCTTCTACGGCGTCCGTGCCTCGATTGTGTCTCCAAGAAAAGACACAAAGTCTGAGCAACAGCAGAAATATTTTCCACTACGATTTTTTCCAGAAGTGAGCAGGAAAGATTTACGAGAGGGACCACTTTCAGTAGCACTGATTCAACGGCACTGACTTTTCCGCTGCATGAAGCAAAACCACAAGACTTAGGGCCCAGAGCTTTTCATGTGTGGCTGATTTACGTTACAGAAAAAGACCATCATTAACTCAACCTGAGACCCAGAACTATTCTTTTCAACTTGTTGTTTATCCAGAGAAAGCTTTGCTGAGCATGCACCATCTGTATCAGCCCTGTTTCACAATCAGACTTTGAGGATTTGTGCAGTCTATCGTGTCATGAACACTGTTATCTTCTGTTTACTTCGATAACATTTACTGTATGCATGGCTGGAAAGTTAACCCGCCAAACCCAGCAGACTGCGACCAAGCCACCAATGTTTCGATGCAACTAGTTTGTATTAAGTTGATTAAACACAGATTTATTTAAGAGATTTGTGAAAAGAGGAGTCACAGTTGTCGTAACTTCCGTGTGTTTTTTAACCTAAACGACAATCTTTTAACTAACTACGTATTTCACAATATTTTCCTGAACCTAACTAAGCATTTTTGAGTTGTTTCCTGTAAAGATGGAAGTATATTTTGAAAAGACCGTATGGATGTAACAAGCATAAAGTGCTGCTGGACTTTTGTAGGAAAATGCACAAAAAATGAGTCACTTCGTAAAATATCATATGAACGGTTTCATGAGGATACCTTGATTTATATATTTTCTTATCTGTGGGTCAGCTGGTTGATCCATAACTTTGGTCCTAACTGAAATATCTCAACAACTGTTGAATGGAAATGTGGTTCTTGAATTAGATTTTGACACAGGACAGTGGATTCTTAACAAATGTGCAGTTATTTAGAGTAAATTACCAGAACAAATTTCACCATTCTTCATTTGGCACAGAAACTATTTGTGTCTGAGAAACCAAAACAAGCCTTGAGGTGTGAACACTGGACCTGAAGCAGGTGTTACATGTTGTCTACTGTGACTTTCTGTGCACAGTCACAGACAGTCATGACATGCCCAGTTCTCCGGGGGTGAGTAACGGGTTGGCAGTGAGGGGTTGTTGTGTTTAAGGACCAGTGGAACATCAGGAAACACGTCTAGCCGAAGAAAACAAGCCGCCTTCTGTGTCTGATGACGGTTGCATAACGACGGCGGATTAAAAACACTGAAGACCTCTTCTCTGTAATATTCCTTGTAGTTTAAACCAAATACTTAAAGTCTTTAATCAGTTTCTCATCAGACAGTTGAGGAGGTGTGACGCCACACTGAGCTGATTGAAGGTTCTGAGACCGCCTACGTCCTACATTCCCAAAGTCTGGGACTCCACCAAAATGTATTTATAAGTATTCAACATGTGGACATAGAAATAGGTTTTTCAGGAATTCTTTGCAAGAGTAAGGGTCCCACTAAGAACCCTTTTCATCAAAGGAACCTCTTTTTTGATGAAAGTTTTTCAAGGGTTCTTTAAAAGACAAAGTGTTCGATTAAGAACCCTTTTCATCCAACGAACTCTTTTCGGGAGAAATAGTTCTTCAAGGATTGTTGAAAGCATGCTTGTTAAAAGAAAACAGCCTCAGTCTAAGCTGTTGAACTAAAACCTCGGTGAGGGTTCTAGGTAGACCCCCTGGGTGGGTTCTTGTTAGCACCTTTAGAAGGTGGATCGTTTCTGGATCGAACCTCTAGAGGGGGTTCTGGGTGGAGCCTTACACAAATGGTTTTAGGTCAAATCAGACGGCAACCTCCCGTTCTGCCGAGTGAAGCCAGTGCAGAAGTGTCCCTCTGCCGTCAGATCAAACTCTTATATAACCTTTCCATCATGTACTCTGTACAGTATTGACTGTCAAAGGAACAACTGGGGAGATCATTAGACCTTTGGCAACAGTCTCCACTCTTCCTTGTTTGGTCTCAGACCAAAACAAACCAATGAACTGGACAAGAACCAGCTCCTGCTGTGTTTATGTGTCTGAGTTGTACCTTGTTTTATAGCTACAGTAAGACTTGCTGCGACAGTAAAACATCATATGACCCTCTAATATAATGTTTGAAGAAGCTGCACAGCGTCTTTTGTGTGTATTGGCTTCAAATAACTGAATGTTTTCCTTTTTCAACTCATCTCTCTGAAGCCAGAGCAAAGAAAGCAGCAGAGAGGGAAGCCAAAGCAAAGAAGCAGAAATCCCCGAAACCCACCAAGAAGCCCAAAGCACCGAGGCCCACCAGAAAACCCAAAGCACCAAAACCCACCAAGAAGCCGAAGGTGCCCAAAGCCACCAAGAAACCAAAGGAGACGACCACGACGCAGCCAGACGTCAAGAGTCCTTCTCTGGACGAGGAAGAGGAGCGTCTGCTGATTGAACTGGGCTGGGGCACGTGTAAGTATTATACTCAAGCTTTTTGAGAGGGAAGAAGAGAATATTGTTCATAAATATGGTTTTTAACTATTTAAGTCGATCCTCACAGTGGCTCGACCTCTGACCCCAAACGGACCTGGAGTGGAAGAGCCAGTCGAGCCGGACCTGGGTGAGACTTTCACGGGTCACTGGACCGGTTTTCAAGAGCTCGCTCACAAAATACAAAAATAAAGTCGAGGCCATTTATGTCAGAAAAGCATTTTAGTTTTCTACTACTTTATAATTCCATTACTTCTCAGAGGAAAATATTTAATTTTTTACTGCTCTACATTCATTTAATAACTTAAGTTGCTTGCAGATTCAGATTAATGATATATATATATATATATATATATATATATATATATA